AGAGAGAGAGAGAGAGAGAGAGAGAGAGAGAGAGAGAGAGAGAGAGAGAGAGAGAGAGAGAGAGAGAGCGAGAAGATGGTGTTTTTCCTGAACTGTAAGGTATGTCCAGAAGGATGTTCATTCTGAAAGGGGATGGATGATCTATGTGAAATGTTGATGGCATAACTTTGGATCGTATTACACCGCACAAAAAAAAAAAAAATCTGCACACTCACAGCTGTACTGCGACTTGAGAGATGTTGGCCCAAAGTGTGTGTGTGTTGTGTCACTGAAGGCCTAGCACAACGTACCAGAGGAAGTGGGACCAGAGGAAACGGGACCATTTTCTCTGCTCATCAATGTAAGTAATCTAAGCTCAGAAATGATACACAGGTGAGTGCGAGCTTGTTCCAGTTAAGTTGCATGAGGCAGGTTGACTGACCATAAGGAGGGTCGCGCCGCCATGCGTCGATGTTGTTGTTTTCACTTTTCTTCGATGTCGATGCACCACCTGTGCTCGGATTCTGTCGACTTGTCTTCTCTTCTCTTTTTCGCCCCCTCCCCCCCCGATCGTCTCTCATGAGTTGTCGTGCCAGCCATGCGATTTGAGTCGTCGTGCTTGCTATGCGATTTGAGTCGTCATGCTTGTCATGAGAATGTTTTTTTGAGCTTCCCAAACTGCATAAGGAGGGAGCAGTGTTCTCTGAGTGAGTGGAGGCCCATGAGGAGAAGCGTTGCGTGAGGGGAGGCCCATTTTTTTTCTGGGGTATTTGCTTCTTTTTCTGAAGCTTTTGCTTTTGTTTGGTATTGACTCCCTGTATTCTTTGTTGCTGTTATTGTGACCTTGGCAGGCCCAAGTGATGGAGAAGACACCATCGATGAGCGAGCTAAACGAAATTGTTTATGGCCAGGTTCGTAAATCATAGTGGCTTCTGTGTCACTTGATGGAAAAAGGAAAAAAATAAAAAACGCTGTAAATCATAGGTTTGTGAAATTGTGATGCGTTTACACGTGCCAAGGGCAAGGTTGACCCATCCCCCGGGGAGGTCATGGTTTAGGGGGTTGGGTCGGTCTGTGGCAACCCTTGCCTTGAGCAGGCAACTAGAACCGCAAGGGCAAGGTTGACCTTTTTTCTACATCTTACCTTCTTGTACTTGTGCTTGTCGGTAATGAGCAACTGGACTGACCCCTCACCCCAGAATAGAAGGGGCTTTGTGCGTTTTTTTGTTTAAAAAAAAGGGAAAAAAAGAAAAAAAAGAAATGGTGATGCATTGAGCAGCATTACCATTACGAATTTATCATTGTATTAAGAGTATTGAGTCCTATTGACTCGTAAATCTCAGTCTCGTGGAGCGAGAACGAGGCCCGTGTTAAACAGGGGAGTAAAACTCAAACATCCACATAGCAGACAATGGAAAAAAATGGGAACATTAATTAGTCTATCTATAGGTAATAATGACTTACAAACTAGTACATTAGTCTAATCACTGGTAAGGAAAAGCGAGAGTCTAATTACCCTAATCACTTAAAAAGCTAGAGTCTAATCACTGTTAAGGAAAAGCTAGAGTGTAATCATTACCGAAGGAAACCTGAGTGTGATCAGTTCTAAGAAAAAACCTGGAATCTAATCACTTGTAAGGAAAAGCTGGACGAAATTGAACGCTTGATGACGGGAAACTAACGAAGTGTAGATGGGGCAAAATTTTCCGTTGTGGGACTGTTGTGGGACCGTTGTGGACGGTTGTGGGCCGGAGGGGGGAGGAAATGGTGCCGCTCTTTGATCATGAGCGGATCTCTTTTTCACTGATGTTTTTGGCTGTTTTGAATACCGAAATTCGATGTTTAATTCGTCGCTCGTCTGTCTTTGTGCAGGTTGCTGGTAACTTCCTTAGGCTTGATGAACCTAGCCTATGCCTTTCCCGCTGAGAGGCAGGGACCATTGGTGCTATGTTCATGCTAAGAAAGTACCAATCTGGCCTCCATTACGGCCATGTTCATGCTAATCCAACATGAACAGAGGACCAGTGGGGGTCATGCTTCTTTCTGAAACAGTTTTCACCTTTGGTAGTAGCCGATGCAGATCCCAAGGGTCGATCCCTTGACCTCAGCTTACCTGTGTACAGTATCTGCACAGTTCCCTGGAATTGAACCCGTGACCTGCATGATAGCCAGTGGTAAGTAGGTCRCCGTAGGTTGTAGGCTGTAGGGAGATTCGAACTGTAGACCTGTAAGGTWGGAGTCCAAGTAGAGTCCAGAGGCCTAGCTGTAGTCCTTCTAGAAGGTCGGCAAGTGGTCAAATGGTGAGTCTTAAGGTAGGCCCACGTTTTCAGACGAAGRCAAGTGGCAAAGTCAACAGGTAGGACCKCAGTGCAACTGCACTGAGTCGACGGTACGACTGCCTACAGTCAGCAGAAGGGTCTAGAGAGTCSCAGTCCAGTCCAGCAAGTACCACAGGGGGACTGTGAGCACCAAGGGCCGATGGCAAAGGGCAGACCAACGAATTTAAATCAAGAGGCAGCGCCCAGCCATTCATTCATTCCTGC